CACTGAAGAAATACATTATAGTTTTGGATCCCAATCGATTTTCCAATGTTTTTGAATTTCATACTTTTCTTCAGTGTTAATTTATTAAAACTGAAGAAAAGTATGAAATTCAAAAATAAGAAAATCGAGTGGGGATCTGCCGGGTTCTTTGTCTACCATGTTAAACACGCCATATTGAATTTTAAAAATTGATTAATACTGTAGATTTTTCGTAAATTTTGTTAATTTGTTTCATTTTTAAGAAATCTAGTTAAAAAATTTCCTGAATCACCGTTTTTTATATAAATAGTTAATTTTTTTTTCTAAACGAAGACGAATTCTGATTGAACGCTATAAAGGAGATAAGAAATTCTCATAGTTAAGTGTGACGCGCGCGAAAACATAAAAGTGCCTAGGGTTCTCTTCTTTATCGCGGCGCCACCAATGCGAAAGGGATTAACCTTGTATTCCTCTTCAGGTATGCTCTATTGCGGTTTTATATGTATGAAAAACACGTACTCGCCTGCGAAACGCTTGTCTATCTTTAGCCTTCACTTTGCAGATTTGTATTCATAGAATAGAAAGGCAAAAAAAAAATCTACCATTTAGCAGTATATAAAAAACCTGAAAGTATCAAAAAAAACTTCAATATAAATTTAATTCTCAATGTTCGCAATTCCCTTTTAGAAACTTTTGCAACTACTTTTGCATAAAAACAATAATTATTTTTATTAATTTGTAAATATTGATAATTGTTTCTTACGTCCATCGATATTATATACATTTTTTTATTTCCCTTTTTATTTTAAAATTATTTTTTCATTTTTTTCAAAATCTTTTTTCTGTTTTATAAAATAAAAAAAGTATCTTTTATGTCCACAGAATAGGTCAATAAAAAAATTTATATTCTTATTAATTATAATTATATAATTATTATTCGAGTAATTTGCAGTGACAAAATCAGACTTTCAAGGCTTAAATTCATTCAAAAATGGTTTTATAAACTATTCATTAGTTGTAAATGGTTTCAGTGAAGAAATAAGGCTGAAAGTAAGATTTATTTTCTATATTAAAATTGTTTAATAAAATTTTATTTAGGATATTAACTTTTGATTTCTCACGATGAGGCACGAATGAAAATATTGCATGGCTTAATTTTAAGTGTTTTCAAACTGTATAAACTCGTTTAAATTCACGAGATCTTTTTTTATCTCTTATTATCTTCATTCACATGAGAATGGCTACGTACGCTGCATATTAACCAGGATCGCAGGATAATCGGCTTGTTAATTTTTCACAGTTTCAATTTAACTCACTTTTTTGCATCTTTATTTTTTTATAATAAAATCTTTTTCAAAATTATTAATTTTTTTATTTTATAATTTCTTCTTCTTCTTCTTCTTCTTCTTCTTTTGGAAAATTAACTTCTTTTTTTAAATTTTTGCAATAAACATTAAAAAAATAAGTTTTTAAATTAATAAACTTTTTTCTATGAATATTTTTGATAGATTTCTTTTTTACTTTTTGAAATTTATTTTAAATATCTTTATGACAACAAAAACATTTAGTGAAGGCATTGGCATTTTATTGATATTTGCCCGCGAGTCTGTCTCCATCTGGAGTGACCCTGACATTTGCTCGCTGATGCATTTTGCATATTATCTTATATAGTTACTGTAAAGGACCTATCACAATATTACTAAAATGATTAATTTTGTGCTAAACATTTTTTTTTACTTTTCTCCTTTTTTTTCAGTAACAAATTTCTTATAGGTACATTTTTGCAGTTTTATTTTTCTTCAGTAAAAAATTTCTTATTGGTACATTTTTGCTGTTTATTTATACAATATCTATAGTTTATAATTTAGATAATAATTTCTATTTTTTATATTATATAATTATACAAACATTCAATAAGCCATAATTATACTAAACTATAAATTCTTTTATATTTCTTCACCTTAAGTAAGTTCTTCACTTCACTCTTTTAAATATACATTTATTTGTTAACTATAATGAATAACTATTTATAATATAATTATATAAAAAAAAGTAAATTTCGCAGTAAAAGTGGAATGTTAATTCTTTATACTAAAGTGTGAAATTCATTACTGTCTGAGGTTGGATTAATCACAACCTTCGTTTGCCTTCTGCAGTCACGATTATCTCCGTTTTTTTATAAGATTAAAATCTTGCGGCAGTAAAGTGTGTCTGATGACTTTCGTAAATATATATATATACATACAACTCGGTAGTTGTTTATCCCACAATGTTTAAAATTTCTTCATATTTTACTTCAATAATTGTTTAGAACGAACAAAAAACGATTTATATATATTTTTCAACCTTTTTTAAAATAAAACAAAAAAGTTTGAAGGGAATGTCAAAAGTTGATATATACGATTTTATTGTAGCTCTTATCAACTTTGACACCCCCTTAAGGTGCACAATTAATGTAAAAATTTTACTTAAAGCAATAGTAATACGATGAAGAAAAGAGGATTCTAATATTTCTTTTTTCGAAAGATATTTATTTATTTCCTTTAATTTCTTTTATCGAATTATGATATAGATACAGTTCTATTAACGACAGAGGAATAAGTGCCATCTGTTTTACCCACAGTCGGTAATATTTTTTTAAAATCATTTTTATTTAAAATTTTTTTTTTTTATTTTTTTTTTTGAAGAAAATGGTATTTTTGGAAAATTCAAAGCATTAATACGGCCCTGCTGTAATTCAAAAACAAAATGAGTGTCCAAAGTAGCACGAAGGTGATTTCCACGCCTCTCGAAAACTGCTACCAAACGAAACGTTATTCTGTGTTCTCCTGCAACTATATATGTGTAATTCAAATTTGTATGTGTGCTTTTACACTTCTTTGTACAAGAGCAAAACGATCCTCAGTACACAAGCCGATTCAGGTTTCAAATATTGATATGCTACTTCCGTTTTCTTTTATTTGCTACATAAGACAAGTTATTTTATACTTTGTATGTTCAATTTAAATCGAAACTTTCTTCAATAGTGGCAATAAAGTTTCGAAAGCTATATAAAGATAACGAAAAATTTTTTATATTATATATTATTATCATATTTATTATTATTATTATTATTATTATTATTATTTTTTTTTTTTTTTTTTTATTTTTATCATTATTATTATTACATTTATATTACAAAATTAACATTAGCTACAAATTTTTCATAAATTTCTTCGCAATAATTCAATTATTATAAATAATCAAATTTTTTACAGGGATTTAATTATTTTTAAAACAATTTTAATCAAATTCGTCGAATAATGTAAAACATGCTTGAAAATTATAAGAATTTTTTGATATCCTAGATATATGTATCTTTTTAAGGTTGATTTTATTTTAATTTTGACGATTTAAAAATTAAAACTCAAAATTAAAAATGACGGATGCAATATGGCGTATATACTAAAAATGGTAGTAAATTGTAGAAAAATTGTAGTATAAGAAAAAAAAACCTATTATAAAATTATCAATGAAAGTGAAAAGTGATTTTAGGTCAACATTCTGAATTTCACAGTAGGGTGACCTTATGGAAATTCTCTTATACACTCTGCGTGGGCGGTAAACTGAGAGACTGAACACCGCGCAATTTTCTATACAGCACGTCGATTTAATTCATTTAATTCAATCAATTCATCATTTAATGTGTTTTTAAAGAATTTTTAAAATAGAATGTTTATTGCACAAATTATTATGATTAATATTATTATTATAATAATAATGATCCAAGAACGTCGAAGGTAGGCGTGAATGTTACTTTTCTTTTTTTTTTAATAAAGGAGCAGCACTCCAAGGTGTATCGGGATCAATGACACGCCCGCAGATTCTTGAGGCATCCTCCACGACCTATACGTACACATATAAATACCGGACAGAATTCCAACAACCTTCCCCGACTTCCCAGCAGGACCTACTGGTTTCTATTTATACACACCACCAATGAAGTCGTGCTCTTCACTCTGATCCTTGAAGCACGCAATTTTTTGAAAAACTTGCTTTCAACCTGTTTCAAAGATTTTTATTAACCCGAAACATTTGCGTGGAAAATTCATATATTTTTATTGGTGAAGTTTTTTTTCAAATTATTTTCTGTTTTTTTTTTTATTTTTTTTTTTATTTTTTTCCAGAATTTTTCTTAAAATAAAGTTTCTTTTTGTTTCTAAATATTTAAATTTCCCGCCTTTTTCTAATTGAAAGTCCACCATATTGGATCCGCCATTTTGAATTTTGAAAATCTGACTTCGTAATCACCCCGATAACCCCCGGGTTAATTATACATATTTATTGAACAGACCCCTTCATTTTGAAAAAAAATAATTTTATTATTTTTTTCCCGCGATATTTTATTTATTGTTTATAATAATTATATGTTTACGTAATTTATTTTTCAAGATTATTTTTAAATTTAAAAATAGTTTTAAAAATAGTTTTTTTCGTAGTTTAACAAGTTTTTTGACGCAAAATAAACAATTATAATTAACTAAAAAAGAAATTAATTAAATGTAGAAATTAAAATTAAGTTAATTAATTAATTAAGAATGAGATTAATTAACTAAAATAAACAAGTAACGTATTAAATTATAATCATTTAAAAATTTAATTTATAAAAAACAATTTTTTACCCTCGCAGTATATTTATATGCAGTATTATACAATTGAAAAATTTTTCGCTCGTAAGGAGGATCGAACCCTGCACCTTGAAATCTTTGAAAAACGAATGCAAACGAAATAACCATTTTAGACGCAGTTTAGAAAAACTGTCTAGACGCTAACCAAAGTCCTATTTTTAAATAAATTATTTACTTTCTAGGATAAGTATAATATTAAAATTATAAATAATTTGAAGCTGTTTTGAATGAAAATTTTTAAATTTACTCTTTAGTAGAATCTTAATTTCCCTAGAAAAGTTACCAGAAGTAATCACCATAAGTCGATGAAGTAGAAAAGAAGCTAAAAAGTAACTCACTTATGTTGCTTATTCGTGGCCATATAAGTCGATGATTTCTTCTTTCTTGTGTTTTCTGTTGTTTTATGTTGACTACCAAACATATAGTAAGCTTTTTACTTAAGTTATAAGTAAATTATTTAAAAAATAATTACTGAAGAGATACAAACAATAAAAAATGACTGAAGTAATGCAAGAAATCTTTAATTCTTTCCAAGATTATTTAAACACCGAACAGGATTTAAGAGAGGTATTCATTTGATATATTCATTATTTTCATTTTATTTGAAGGTTATGTCAATGCCGTGAATGTTTTGCAAAAAATTTTATAACATATTTTTATATTTTTCTATGAAAGTATTTAATTATAATTACAAAATAATTGAAAGTAGATAATATTAATTATATTGAACGTTATGAATAAATCATTTTTTTTAATAATCATTTTTAATGTGATTTTTTACATCAACAGGAAATTCGCAAAACTGTGAAAGAAATTGAAAAGACCGGAAGAGAAATTCTTATGATCCTTCAAAATATTCACAGTGAGAACAAAGAGGAAAATATAAGTAAGATTTTAAATTAAACTACAAAATAAAAGTAAACAATTTATTCAAATTTTTATTATATCATAATTTAGAATTTTTTTTTTTTTTTTTTTTTAACCGAAAAATACAGATACAATTTTTATGGATACTTTAATTAAATTGTCGAAATTATTTATATTATAAGTATTTTTTTATTTACAATTTTTTTTTAAACAGTTATTTAACTTAGGTCCTTGAAGTAAGCATTGACGCTGAGCGTCAAAAACCCATTTTTTTCGCTTAATGGGAAATAAAAAAAATTGTTTCAAAAATTATATAAATAAAAATTGACCTCAGCAGTTTTTTTTAAATCCTTAGGTGAATTAAAGAAGTGAAATTAGAGTCATTTTCATCTCTAAAAACACCAAAAAATAGTTTTCAACGCTAACTTCAGGGACATTTTTTCTTTGTAAAATTACTCATGAAATAATTTTTTTACAGTCGTCTCGCAATATTGTGCAAAAGCTCGTGAATTATTTGAAAATGTTCGCACAAATTATGCAAAATTGGCGGAAATCGTACCTAAGGATCAATATTACAGATATCACGATCAGTGGCGAATAGCGACCCAGAGGCATTGTTTTCTTGCAGCGCTTACCGTTTATTTGGAGATCAAAGTCCTTGTTACTAAGGATACAGTTGCTGAAATAATCGGTGGTAAATTTGGGAAATTTTATATTATAAAAAAGAACAAATCATATATTTTATGCAATTGAGAAGCAAGTTTTCAAAAGCTGATAAAATTCACTTAAAAAAATGGATCTTCATTTTTTTAAACGGTTTTGTCTACTTTCAAAAATAAATTTAATATTTTAAGGAAAAATCACTGAATTATCTAAACTAAATTTTACATATTTTTTGAAAAATATTTATAGATTATTGTATACCGATTAAAATATTTTTCTTTCAGTAAAATCGAAACCACAGGACGGATTTCATCTCGACGTGGAAGACTTTCTAATGGGATTACTTCAATTAGCTTCGGAATTGGTAAATAACTTGATTTATACATTTACAAAAATTATTAGTATTTTAAGTAACTAAATTTTTTTTACCCAAATTTTAGGTTCGTTTTGCAGTGAATAGCGTTACTAACGGAGATTTCAATCGACCAGTGGAAATTGCTCGATTTGTCAGCGAACTGAACGCTGGATTTCGTCTTTTGAACCTGAAGAACGATTCTCTTCGAAAGCGTTATGATGCTCTGAAATATGACGTAAAGAAAATCGAAGAAATCGTTTACGATCTCAGAATTCGTGGATTAAAACCGGAAAATTCAGAAGTGCCTCCTCAAGACGTGGAGTAACTCGATTTTCAAGCTTAATTTTCAATAGGAAAATTTTCTTGATATCGTATTAAAGTCTGATTTTCATAATTTTCCACTACTACTAGTTCCTAAGTTGTCGGCAATGTAAATGATACTTTATAATTTTTCTACTTAATGAAATAATTAATAAATTCTTTTTTCGATTTTTGGGGACTATATTTGTAAAAGGTGAAAGAAAAAACACTATATTTCATTTTTTAAAAAAGTGAAAAATAGTGTTTTTTCTTTCACCTGATACAAATATAGTCCAAAAATCGAAAAAAAAGAATTTATTAAATAATTGTGGAAGGATAAACATATTCATCTATATGTTTATTAATGTTCCAGTGAATATTAATTACTATTTTTGACAATTAATAGAAATTATCGTAAGAGACAAGTTTAATTAGCAGCTGTTAAAAGTTGTTTTAAATTAAAATGTTACATGTCTAGTCTTTCAGGTGAAAAAATCTGAAGTCAAAATATTTTTACAAAAGAGACTATAATTTCTAAAATAAATACCAGTTTTAGTAAGAAAAAAGTCTTTTATTATTTAAAACTTATTTCCTTTAAAGAAAATTAATTGTATCAAGTTGTGTAAAAATAATTAGTAAGAGTTAATTTAATTTTAAAAGAGTTTACAATAATTATCATAAATAAATGAACAAATTGAAATTTTATAAAATTTCCATGTTGAATGAATTCAATTAGAAATTTTAATCAACTTAGATTTTTAAATAATATTTAATAATTCAAAATCTTCTAAAATTAGTTAAATTTGTCAATATATAGTTAATTATAAAATAATGGATTTATAGAAGAATTTTAGTTAAAAACACTTAAAAAAATTGAATTTTGAAGAAGTTACAAATTGCAATAATTCAATTATTTTCAAAAGTATAATAAAAGTCTCGTAACAATTTCAATTATCTTTATAAATAATAAAATTCTTCTCCAAAATTCAATTATCTTCAAAAATTTTAATAAAATTCTTGGCAAAATACTGATTTTCATAAATAATAGAAATTTCAAAAGAATTCAATTATTTGCAAATTTAAAAAAAAATGTTCTCAATTCAATTATTTTCAAAATTAATAAAATTCTTCGTATAAATTCAATTATTCTAAAAAATTCTAATTAGTTTCACCATTTTTTAAAGAAAAATTAGTTTTACTGCATGTGGCGTGCCACATGTTGTTGACTAATAATCATAGTATGACTGCATAGTGCATAATAAAAAGTTCGTAAATAATAATTTTTCACTATTCTTAAAAACATCCTTATATTTGACTACAATATTTATAGTACATGCAAACTAATTGCATTTTATATTCTTCATGCATATGATGTTCGCAGTACAGATAAATACGAAAATGATGTTTGTAAAATCTGTAAAAATTATATTGTTTATTGAATTGCTATAGGTTTTTTCAAGGTTTATAAAATTCCCTGACATTTCTAGGTTCTCTAGGTTTCAATGTTGCGTGGCAACCCTGTAAAGTAAACAATTCCATTAATTAATAATATAATTACGAAAATCTTACTTTTGCAAAACTCTTTATTGACAATTCAGTAAATTTTCCAACAGTCAGTGTTATTGGATGCTGCGTTCTCATAATAATAATTAGCAAAAGTTTAATGTTTTCAGGTGATGCTTCGTACCAAGAACAATCACATATACTTTGAGGAATACTGGAACTCTATAAAAATGTTATATTTACAACTAATAATTGATAGATTAAAGATTAAAAATTATCAAATTGTAAATATTACTCACCTTTGATAATAACATTTCTCCGGAGTAACAAATTGCAAATGATTGAAGTAAAAGAAGAAACATGAAACTGGTACCTTTTAGTATCAAAACAAAATCTAGTGCATCTAGGGACTAAAATAATTGAATCTCAATTGTTAACTGCTTTTAAAATTTTAAAGGATTTTAAATTATAGATAATAAAAATTATATTAGAATTTAAATTCTAGTAGAGAAATTGATGAAATTAAAAATTTGAGAAATCAAGACATGCATACAATTATAATTAGATATCCAACAAGACATAGTGAGATAGTACTCTCCAAGATTTGACTTAAGCAAATATAGCTGTAGATCATTTCCATTTTTTCACTCATGCGTAATAATTTTCGATGTTCATTGGCAATTGTCTTAATATAAATTATTAAATAACGATTCTCCGTCGAATGCTTAGGAAATGATATGTTTCTAATTCCATTCTGTAAAATTTCAATTTTTCCCACAAGATGAAATACCTACAAGAGAAAATAATTATTACATTGAAAAAAATCCGTTTTTCTCCTCACAGGCATCATATTACTTTTTACCCTCAAAAAAAGGTGAAAAGGGGAAATTTTGAATATAATTGAATTTCTGCGAATAATTTTATTAATTTTGATTTTTGAAAATAATTGAATTTTTGCAATCATTTGCGAAACTTCTCCAAAATTCAAATTTTGTTAGTGTTTTTAACTAAAATCCCTCGATAAATTAATTATTTTTAATAATTAATTAATAAGTATTAGAAAAAGGGGACAAAAGGGGAAAAGTGGTCCAACTGAGATGCCTGCTTTTATGATTATAAGTACATATAAAAAAGTCACCAATGTGCCAAGTAAGGTTTCAGACAAAGAATTAGCACAAGTCCAGCATACAAATAAGGCACATTGAAAAAGTGTTGCAACTATAAAAACTGGCAAAGGATTAATATCAAAAGGATATTTTGCTGGTATTAATAATATTCTCTGATCTGATGAATTCGTAAGATAGAGAATGAAAAATTCGGTAAAGTATGCAAAAGTAGTAAATGAATAAAGCGACCATTCAAAAAAACAAAATTTTTGAGCGTATTTCACGTATTTCATCATTATTGCTTCGTCTTTGGAATTTTTCATAGCTTTCCAATCCTTATCTAAATCCATTAAAAGAGAATGCAGATTGCTAGAAAACATTTGAAAACTCTATACTCTGATTATTACTGCAAACATTTCACTTTGTTTTCCCGCCGAAGAAAACTGTTTACTTTAAACAATAAACTATTTTCCATAGTTATTTGTCATATATACAAAAGTAAGAAAAAGTGGAAATGGTAATAACTGTTTTAAAAATGCTTACCCTTTATTAAAAAACAATATTAAAAATTTAAGCACCAAGAAAATAATTACAATCATATCACGAATAACGTCAAACATCTGTCCTTTATTTTTATTGACCAGAATATCTTGCAGTTGAAAAGGTGAAATTACAAAAATCGACGAACATAACAAAAGTTGAGGGATTAGATAATTTCGTTTATTTGGCCATAAACCAAGAAAACTGAGAGCCAATTCTAAACCCCAGTGAATAATTGGAATTTCCATATCTTTACGTTAATGCAAAAAGCTTGACTTGTATAATGAGAAAAATATCAGCAGAAGAAAGGAAGATAGATGGCTACAACTAAATGGATTTAGTTGTTCCCTAAAGCATACGTGTAATCCATTAAATATTACTATCTATAGAATAATAGAAACATTAATGCAATGGTAATTTATTGACAACTTAAAGTCCAAAAAAGTGTACCCTCTGAAGCACTATGAATTTTTAAGAAATTGCAGAAACGTAAATTTATTATCTGTTAAACTGTACAACCCAAGTTTATATATCTTGTTATTCATGCAAATTTCTTACTTAAAAGTTTGAAAACATATAGACTATGCACATAATCTAGTATCTTTGTAAAGTTTCTACATGTCTATCGAGTTTATGCACTCTGATTTTATTGATTTTTTTCCAATCTTATGGTCACTGTTTTGGAACAATTTACATTTGTGAGTACACTTGTGTAAAGTCCTTTTTTCAGCTTTTGCGGAGGAAGTATAAATTAAAATAAAAGCACCATAGCTTATAAAGTTCCCTTATAATGTCTACTGTCAAAATTTTTTTTAATTCTTTGTCAAGTGGCAGAAGAGGATGTAATGAGAAAAGTGGTATTCAATTTATTATTGTTATGCAAATTACAAAATTTTTTATTTTCAAATATAAATTTTTTAAATAATTTCATAATCAAAACATAAAACATCCACTTCCTGTGTGGAAATGGCCCGAGTTAGCCATGACAGAGTTAGGTTTCTGGTCATCAGGGGCTAACTTGTAGTGGGACTCCCTAGACATAGCATGGATAGCGTCCAGATTCAATTTCCACTTATTAAGAACACAATTAATTATTACTGTTCATATTTTCAAAATATTTAATAAAATTACACGAAAGAATTTAATTATTTTCTAAAATTTTAATAAATCCTTCTAAACAATTCAATTATTTTTTTAAATATTAAAATCTTTACAAAAATTCAATTATTTTCAAAAATCAAAACAATTTTAATTGAATTCCTCGGAAGAATTCAATTTTAAAAGAAAAATTTAATACATTTCGAAAAAAATCATTTTTTTTCTAAAATTTTAATAAATCCTTCGAAAAAATTCAATTATTTTTAAAAATAGTAAAATTCTTTGCAGGAATTCAATTATTTTCAAAAACAATTTTAATTGAATTCCTCGGACGAATTCAAATATTTTTAAATATTTCCAAAAATTTCAATTATTTCCTTAAATTTTAATAAATTCTTTGAAACAATTCAACTATTTTTGTAAATACTAAAATTTTTTGCAGGAATTAAATTATTTTTAATCCCAATTTAAATAAAATTACACGAAAGAATTTAATTATTTTTTTAAAAATTTCCACAAAATTCAATTTTAATAAGAATTTAAAATTCTCTGAAAATAATTCAATTAATCTTAAAATATTTTTAAAAAATTCTATATAAAAGTTAAATTACTATTACAATTTTGTTATTTGTTAATTATATAATTTGTTTATTATTTGATGCTATTATAATATATTGTTATTTGTTAATACAATTTTGATGTTATGTATTAATGAATTATTTGTTGTTACAATTAAAAGTTATCAATTATTTTATCAATAATTCAATTATTTTCAAAAGTTAAAAAAAATTCTCCTCAATATTTAAATTATCTTTATAAATAATAAAATTCTTTTCCGAAATTCAATTATTTTTAAAAATTTTTCTCAATTTAATGATTTTCAATATCTAGGGTGTTTTGGGGTGATGTGAAACATGGGGTGATGTGCAACACCGCCGATTTTTGATCTACAGTTCGATATTGAACAGAGCCAAGTATTGCCATTTTTTGTGTCAGCAGTAACTTGTTTTTGTTATATAACTCACGAGACAGCTCGCTGCCAGGTTTTCTGTACGTAAGTTGACGAGTTAAATTTCTCGAGCAAGAAATATTTTTCGCACTTTACATTTCTAGTCGTTTCGTGAAGGGTTTTAATTTATTTTACAGATAATAAGAATGCGTTTATTGTTGGTTTTCTAAGTGTTTTTAAATATCTGTTATCATACTTTGTGTTTCCATTGCATTGTATTGCGTACAAATCATTTTTCGCAAAATATCATATTTGGGGTGATGTGCAACTCTCTTTTCTTTTTTATACTTTACGTGACAATAACTGCGATTCACATGATGAATAAAAAATTCTAAGTTATTTTCCGTTAATTATATTCCTTATTCTATTATGAATAAATAAAAAATTAAACAAAAAAAATTTTTTTCTTTTGTGAAATCTCCACTTTTTAGAGGTCAACTATACCTTAGTAAATTTTTGTTTTTTACGGATTTTGATTAGTTTGCATTGAAAAAGCCTAAAATAAGTAATTAAAGAGATTTTCATCGATATTTATGCATTATATACATACCTGAATTTTACTGGTGTTGCACATCACCCCAACTTTTTGGGAAAACGCAAAAACAGACACCCCACAACACCCTACTATTTTAATCAAATTTTCCAAAAGAATTCAATTATTTAAAAAAAATATTATTCTCATCCGCACTCTGAGAAAAGACATTATTTGATTCAAACAAATTTTGTTTAAATCAAACTTAAAATATCTTTGTTATGCAGTCAAACATATTTAAGTTTAATTCAAACATATTTTCTGGTTAAGTTTAAGAGATAATATATTGAAATCAAACATAAATTGTGATTGATTTTAAATTATATGTAGTCAACTTTTAAGTTTGATTCAAACATAACATTTTTAAACATAATTTTTGTTTAAACCGTAACAGAAAGTATGTTTGAATTAAATATAATTATTTAAACAAATAATACTTCTGAATCAATATATGCAGTAGATATTTTCTATATATTGAGATTAAACTTACAAACTAATTTCAATTAAACAAAATCGTCTAACATTATTTTTGTGTTTGTGCACATTCTCATTGTGCATTACTTACGTTCTTGTTCCTTTTTCCTATTATATGTTTTATAAAACTTTTTTTCTTAATAAGTTACTACGACGTTAAGGATAATATTCTCATCACATATTTTTGTTTGCTGATGATTGCGAGATTAAGTAGACTTATAAGAAAATTTCTAGTCCTGCTAATTAAAAGTGTGAAATTATTTTTAATTACAAACTTTCTGTTTGCTGAATTTTCGTCTATAATAGATTTACATGAAAAAGTAACTTCAATTTTTAGAAAAGTTTCAAGCTAAACATTTATTAAAAAATAAATAATAAATAAATAAACAATACCACGAAGTTTGCATGTAAATCTTATTTAAATAATTTTTAGGAAAGATTCAGCACTGTGTGAGACGAAGCTACAAACTGTTAAATCCGATTATAAGGGATGTGATAGTTCAACCCTTAAAATAAAAATGTGAAATTATTTTTAATTACTAAATTTCTTCGCAAAAGCATGGTTTGCTGAAGAAGCTACAATATTTTTAAAATACTAGTATCAAGCTCTTTGTGTACGTGATTTGTAAATAACAATTATTTGATTAAACTGTTGCTGAAATTGATAAAATCATACAATATCTTCATGCTTTTTTGACCACCTTAATTATTTGCAAAATTGAAAAATAACCTTAGTTTTTAGGTGCATTATATATAAAGAGCTTAATGAACTAATAGGTACAGTAGAGTGCAAAGATGCCTTCCTAGTTTGAACGTGTCGCACTCATATGTTTCCATAAGTCAATTAGTGCAACACGTTCAAACTAAAAAGGCATCTTTGCACCCTACCGTACCTATTTATTTCTTTATTACTTTTATCCTTTAGAATCCTTTAGAAAAAAGACATGAGTGAGAAATCTCGAATTTAAATCGAAAATAAAATCGAATGTACTCTCGCAGTTATATCAATGAAAATGAAACATAGGAAACATACAATATAGTACCTTAAAAACTCACACATAGTTAGAAGATGGAACTACAGTCGCTCTTTTCAATATCATTATGAAGTGGCAATTTTTATTTTAATTAACTTAACTTTAGAGAAACTAAATAAAAATTTAGATAATTTTAAATGAGTCACAATAAACAATTTAATATTAAATAAAAGAAACAATTTGAAAAGAAAAAAAGTAGAAAGCAAAGAAGTCGACCGCGAAGCGGTCGTCGAAGCGCTAGTTTATTAAAAACCAAAAACTGCACGAAAACGCATTATCATGAAAAAAAATTTTAAAAAAACAATTAAAAAAATTTCAAATTTCAAAAAACGGTTAAAAGTGTTTTCTTTATTTTGTTGTAAACTACAGATTTTTATAAAAGTTTTAACATTTTAAAAAATCTATAAAATTTTTTTAACACAGTTAAAGTGGTCTGACCCTAAAACTTTTTAAAAAAATTTTGAGTTTTTATAAAAAAATGTTGTAGAGAAAAGTTGTTTGTATTTTCCTAATCTAAAATAATATATAATTAGAGATTTGAAAAAATTAAGTTTTCAAAATTTTGAAACTACTATAGCTTTTGCATTTTTCAACGAAAATGGTTGTTTAAAGAAGTTAGCCTTCATTTTTACAGCAAGTTTAAATAATAAAATAAAATTTTTCTTAGGAATTCAATTATTTACAAAATAATAAAACTTATTGCAAAATTTTAATTATTTCCAATACAATTTTAATTGAATTCCTTAAAAAATTTAATTATTCTTAAAAATGTTTTGATAAAATTCTTTATGAGAATTCAATTTAAAGAAACATTCAATTATTCAGTAAGTTATTAATTTGCATTTTATTTGTAATTAAAATAATTGAATTCTCGTTGAATTTTTTAATAAAAATTGATTCAAAAATGAATTTCAGTTATAATTTTAGATAATTGAATATTAAAAGAATTATTGCATAGAATTTTTAGAAATAATTGAATTCTGAAAAGGTATATCAAATTAAAATCTTTGAAAATTTAAATTTTAACTATCAATTCGGTGAAATTAATTTTTTTCAAAAGTTTTAATTGATTTTTTTTTGTTGAAATTTTTAGAAGTTGTTATTTTCTAATATATATTTAATTGAAGAATTTACAAATAATCGAAATTTTTGGTAAAATGGAATTAAAGAAATGGATTTGAAAATTCTCCAAAAAAGAAACTTTTTCGAAAATTATTAAAAATAATCGATTTGAAGAAGAATTTTATTAATAATTGGTCCGTGAATGGTGCATGATTATTTTTTAGTCCATAAAGTCCGTATTTTTAAATACTTTCACTGGTTTGAACCCTGTTATAGTGGGTTAATTAAAATTATTCCATGATCACAATTAAACCCACAATAAATTCTCGTTGTCTATACAGTTCAGTGAAATGTTTTCAAGAATGATTTGTTTCAAAGCTGTTAAAAATGGATATGAAAAAATTCAATAAGTTTAGGGTGCATAAATAGATTGGGCATACAGAAAGCGTTATAGATCTTTAGCTACTACATTATGTACATAATCTATCTGTTTTGAAAGTTGAAGGTAAAAAATAACTTAATGTTGCTGTTCTTCTCTAGTTAGTAATATTTAATGACTACACGTACGCTTTTTTCAAAACAGAGACATAATACTGAAAAAAGTAATCATTCCTCTTTCTTTTCTTCTCACAAAAAATATAAATCTAGTTGTTTTCTTCACCGTATAAAGAATATGGAAATTCCTATTTTTCACTGGGGTTTAGAATTTATTCTTTCTGTTCTTGGCTTATGGCCTGGAAAAACTAATTTTTGGATTCCTCAGCTTCTTTTATATTTGTCACCTATTGTCATTTCACCCTTTCAATTACGACAAGTTCTTCTATGTGATAATAGAGAACAAATGTTTGATGGAGTTCGTGATATGGCCGTAATTATATTATTGGTAACCAAATTTGTAGTAATGCGTTACAATAAAAGGTAAGATTTCTAATGCTTTTTTTTGACTAAAACGATTAGAACCCAGTAAAATTTTTTTATGATTGTAAAATTATTACAAAATTTACGCAGTTTAGATTGTGGACACATCTTCTTTCCGTAAATGATATTTCGAATTTCTTATTTTAGCAATCTGCATTCTCTTTTAATAGATCTGGAGGACGATTGGAAAAATACAAAAGATGCCGAAGAGATGAAAATTATGATGAAGTATACAAAATATGCTCACAAATTTTGCGTTTATGGTTGGTCTCTCTACACAATTACTACCATTGCCTACTTCGGGCAATTTTTAATTCTTAACTTAACATCAGAAAATAAAATTTTGTTGATACCAGTAGCATATCCTTTTGATATTAACAGTTTACCAGTTTTTATAGCTGCACAAATTTATCAAACCTTCACATTTGGCTGTTGGAATTGTGCTAATTCTTTGTCTGAAATTTTACTAGGCACTTTGGTAATTTTTTCTTCTACATAAATAATTATTTTGTGTGTCACAATATCTCACTGAAGAAATAATGTGAATTTTGTAGTACAATTAATATTTCTTTTCATAGATATTTCACTTTTCGGGTAGACTTGAAATTTTACAGAATGAAATTGATAGTCTGAATATTCCACTGAATTCAATGAATAATAACCAAGATATAATAACGATTATTAAGAGTGTTGTAAATCATCATAGGAAATTGTTACGTATGAATAAAAAAATTGAGAGCATTTACTGTTACATTTGTTTAGCTCAATTTTTTAAAAGTACTGTTACCTTATGTCTTGCTGGATATTTGATAATAACCGTAAGCATTTCGTACAAAAATATTAATTAAAATATTAATATTTTTGTACCAGACGAGATAAAAAAAGTCTAAATTAAATCTTCGCAATTTTTATTTCGCCTAGGATCTTTCGATTAAATTCCAATCAATCTTTTAATGTTCCAACATTTACAATTGCTATTCTTAAATTTTAGACTATGGATGCTGTGGATTTTGTTTTAATAGCAAAGTATATCTTATTCATTTCTCTCATTTTAGTTCAATCTTTTGCAATATGTTATTCTGGAGAGATGTTATTAACCAAGGTTTGCAATATTAATTCATTCCTCATAGTTTCAAGTTTTTTTTTAATTAGTTGATGCCATAGATACTGTTAAGCTTTCAAGTAAATTGGTTTAATATTTTTTGAGTAATTGTGGTTATCGTCTTTAAAAATTCTATTTAGTCTTACTCAAAGTATTAATAATAAATATGATAAATAATAAATTCATAAATAATATAAATTGTGTAGAGTTCCGAGATTCCTCAAAGTATATGCGATTGTGCATGGTACCAAACCTCACCAGAAAAGGTGAAACTTTTACTATTCATTATAATGAGAACCCAACAGCCGATGTCGTTGTCAGTTGGAAAATTTACTGAACTGTCTATTAAAAGTTTTACCAAAGTAAGTTTTTGGAAATTATATAATTAATAATTTCGAACCATTAAATTTAATTAAAAATTCTCATATATTTAAGAATAGTACGTCCAAGCCGGCTACCTTCCTGAAGATCCGCACATCTGCATCACTGTCGATCCTGCCCTGGAATTTAAATTAAAAACCTTTATTGTTTAATGCACTGAAAAGCTTCTTTAATTACCCAGTCGACTTAATTAACTAAATCCATATTAATTTTATAAAATTATAAGAAAAGAGGCTTCCGGAAGGCTAAACTGCCCTACTGGTAGGCTCCTTGGACGTTCTATGAATAAAACCAACAGTAATATTATAATGAAACATTTTGAAATATTTTTAATTTACAGATTTTACAGACATCATTTTCATATTTGTCTGTATTACGAACAGCATATACATAAAGAAGAAAACAATTCAGCACTAATTTGTAGACTAAAAATTTTTATTTTATTCGAATTGATAGAATGAAATAAAATTGTATATTAATTGATTAATCTGATTTCCCCCTTGCCTTAAGATTTACTGTAAATTACTCACTATTGCCTAATACTTTTATAAAATCAATTATGGATATTCTCTAATTGATATATTATCTATTATGATGATTAAATTGTTTCAACTTGAAAAAGATGCTTAAAAAATCTTAAAATTAAAAAAAAAATCTTAAAATAAACTTTTAAAACTTTTAAAAAATGTACCCAAAAACGTCCTCAAGAGGTTCCCAAGAAGTCCTTAAGGCGTTTTTTTAATATTTTTCACTCTGGAAAACATTGGATCAGATATTAAATGTCTCAAAAATGTTTTTTGGATGTCTCAGTGGTATAATCATCATTGACCAAAAATATCCTTGGATTAGACGTTCTGCCAACTGTAAAAATTTACTTTATTACTATTTATTTGACGGTTGACCAGATAGGCCCTTTTGTACAATTTATATTCGTGCAATTCAAAAATTACTTATATCAAAAAGACATTATCAAAGTTGGTGCCTTAAATGTTAGAGTTCCGTATAAATCTAAACAATGTTGTATAGTGAATATTACTGTGTAATCATAAAAATGAAGTAACATAATTAAATAATTTTGTTTATCTGCTGAGTCTATTAAGAAATAAGTTTTTGTTGTAGTGAATCTTACAATGTAATAACAAAAATGAAGTAATTTAAATAATAAATTTGTTTCTCTGCTGATGTCTATTAAGAACTGAGTTGTTGTCGTAATTAAGCCCCACAAACTCACATGAAAGCACATAGATTTTTGAACAATCAATATAATTTGTAACAGAAAATTATTGTTAGTCTGAATGTTACAAAATTTATTCTTGTCGACTATTAATAATAGAAGATCGGGTTGATTATTGTAACGACATTGTCCTGAGTATTGTACGTAAAATTAGCACCATACAAACTTTCAGCGATTTTCCAAAGATGTGGTTTTACGAAACCATTCTTCTTCCGGTACTTTTTAAAAATTACAAAAAAAAACTTTCCTAATCGTAATTTTGGAACATTTGGCCAACTATGGTGCTTCTATTTCACTTTAAATTTCCTCGCAGAAGCTGCAAAAGAACTTTACACAATAAGTGAACCCATAACAGTGATTTTTGTTACAAAGAACATAAGATTGAAGAAAATACAATATGTTTAGGATGCATAAATTTTTTAAGCCTGTAGACGCTTTATAGTCACGTAGGTACTACATTATGTGCATAATCTATATGCTCTCAAACTTGTAAAATGAAAAATTTCCATGAATAGCAAATTATGTGAGCGTTAGTTGTAAAGTTTAAAAGAAAATAAATTCACATTTCTTAGAAATTTATGCTTTAGAGAGTACATTTTCTTGGTCTTTAAGGTTGTCAATAAATTACCTTTACATTGATGTTGCTATTGTTCCATAGATAGTAATATTTAATGATTAGTATACTAGAAAGCTGAATCAAAGTCGTCATTCTTCACTTTTTTCTGCTCCTACACATTGTCATCAATGAAACTTTCTAATTTGCCTTTTCTATTTTTTATTATCATCAATTGTATTAACGTACCGATATGAAAATTCCAATCATTCACTGGGGTTTGGAATTTATTCTCACTTTTCTTGGCATATGGCCAGATAAACCTAGTTTTTTGATTCCTCAGATTCTAGTATGTTCGTCAATTGTTTTAATTCCACCTTTTCAAATAAGGGATATTCTTTCTTATTCAAATAGAACACAAATGTTGGATGGAATTCGTGATATGATTGTAGTTATTTTTCTGGTTCTTAAATTTATGATAATGCTTTTTAATAAAAGGTAAGAGTCTTTAACTTACTTTTTTAATACCTTTAAATTACTTTTTCAATTTTATAATAAATTTTATATTTTGTCTCAATATTCTGACAAAGTATTTGATCGGTTGGACTTGATGATAAATTTAATTATTATTTATAAATAGAAAAATAGGGACTAAAGTATAAATAAAAATTTGTCGGATCTTTGAGAACTTTTCCTGTAAATGAATCTCGAGGTAGAACAACATATTATAATCCCAATGGTATTAATAACCTCTCCGTAGGTGTAATGTTTTCACCATTTTCTAGAAATCTGCATTCTCTTTTAATGGAATTAGATGATGATTGGAAGACTATAAAGAATTCCAAAGACGAAGTAGTTATGACGAAATACGTGAAATATGCTCACAAGTTTTGCATTTGCGAATGGTCGCTTTATACATTTACTTCTTGCGCATATTTTGGCGAATTTTTCCTCATTTATTTTACGAATACAGCAGATCAGAGAATATTATTAATGCCAGCAATGTAAATCCTCTACCGGTTTTCATAGCTACAACAGTTTATCAATCGGTGGTGTTTGTATGTTGGACTTGTGCTAATTCTTTGTCTGAAACCTTGCTTGGCACAATGGTAACATTTTTGTAGTTATAAAAAATATGAAAAAGAGAAAAAAATTAGAATTCGAATATAAGTAATATAATTATGTTTTCATGCAGATATTTCATCTTGTGGGTAGAATCGAAATTTTACAGGATGAAATTCAAAATATATCGTTTCCTCTAAATTCAGTGGATAGTAATCGATGTTTAGTGACGTTCATAAAAAATATTGTTAATCAGCACAGAAAGTTATTGCGCATTAGTCAAAAACTCGAAATTATTTACTCCTATATTTGCTTGAGTCAATTCTTTGAGAGTACGATTTCTTTATGTCTTGTTGGATATTTAATCATAACTGTATGTATATGAATCATAAAGTATAATTTCCATTATTTTAAGTCTTACAAATACATTTACATTTACGATTCTTTTATTTTAGTCTATGGATATGATAGATTTAGTTTTAGTGGTAAAATATATCAGTTTCATGTTTCTTATTTTACTCCAATCTTTTGCTATTTGTTATTCTGGAGAAATGTTATTAGCTAAGGTGTGTAATGTTTTTTTTTATAATTCACTTTTTGGATTCGGATTATAAGTCATAATACAACTAATGAATTATATATAATATTCCCAACAATCCCAAACTTATTGTAAAAATAACTTTTGTAGAGTTCCAGAATTCCTCAAAGCATTAGCGATTGTTCATGGTACGAATCAACGCCAGCAAATGTCAAACTGCTACTTTTTATTATTATGCGAACGCAACAGCCAATGACGTTGACAGTTGGAAAATTTACTGAACTGTCCATTAAAAGTTTTACAAAAGTAAGGTTTTAAAAATGTCCATCCTCGATTTTGATATATCCTCTATTTAAAGATTCAAAATCAGCTTAACGATAATTTAATACTTACAGATTTTACAAACATCATTTTCATATTTATCTGTATTGCGAACAGCATATACATGAAGAAGATACAGGACACAATTAATAGCCTGTATATAAAATAAATTAATAGCCTGTACTATAAAAGATTATAGTCCTTCTACATAGGAATATCTTTTAGGAAAAGTATAAAAAATGTGATGTATGACATTGACCATCATTTCTTAATAAATGAAAATAATTTGTTAGGGCATTTTTATTTTAGTCTTTTCTCGAATCTACCTTATAAACGAATTAGTAATTTTTGATAAAATTCAGACTTCTTATACACACATTTTATTATACACAGTACAATTTTATAATTATTTATAATGTAACCAATTTTTTATTAAGTAAAAAAAATTACTTCTCAGAAACAATATGGATCAAATCATATATTAACATCAAATGAATTGAAAGTCTCAGAAAATTATTTTGGTATTACTTTTTTAATCGTTTTCTACTTTTAAGTATTAAATGTTTCTATTTTATGAACTTCGACACAACACATTAGAAATTACAATAAGTACATTTTTTTCTTTAGACTACTTTTTGTAATAAAAGTTCTCTCAGTGTACTTATAAATTGAGCATATATTATCGATACTTTTGCTATTGATCGGCTTTTACTATCCTTGTGAATAGTGTTCGATGACTTATAAATATAATAATTTTCATTCGTTTTATTGATTTTCTCATAATACTTATGTATTGCTTATGTATGTATTTACCTAAAAAAATTATACATAGAATAATCGAAGATTGGATCATTAGAATAATAAAGATATTAATCTCTTTGTTTAAACTCGAAGTGAGTTTGATTTTCCACAGATTGACAATTCGAATACTTTTAAAATTTTATTGTGCCATGTTTCTAACACTTGTGGTGCAGGCTAATATAAAACATTATAATGAATCATTAATTAAACAGAAACATATTATTTATTTAAAAAATGGTTTTTTTCTTTTCTAAAAATTAGAATTTTGAAAATGGAATTAGAAAATAAAAAATTACAATTACTAAAGAGGGAGAATTGTCAAAAAGACTGCAAAAACCAATAGTTAACGATCAGCTTTAGGAACAAATTACCAATTTGGAAAATTAATTTTAAAAAATATGCTGAATGAGTAATAAACATTTAATGAGTAATAAAAGATGAACTACTTGGAACGGTTACTTGAAAGTTTTCCAAAATTTATATGCCGCTTGTCTACAGTAGAACAATTAAAGGTAATCTTCTGCTATAGTATATTAGACGCACGAACCCTGAGAAAGACCCAAGCATAAAGGCACGGACCGTGAGAAAGCCCCAGTCAGTGATTATCCAATCGCTCTTTGGGTCTTTCTCAAGGTTCGTGCTTCTGATACTTTTTATTAAAATGAGACGTTTTGCAAAAAATTACAATTTTAGTGTTTGGTTTGTTTACATTTTACAATTTGAGCTTGCTGCAAAATTATAAGTGCTATCTGAAAATATAAAATAAATTGTAAAACGTTCGTCGAAGAAAGTTAATATTGTTAACAGTTGTGCAGAATTGTTTGAGACTTGGAATTAATAAAATTTTAGTTTTCTTCGAAACAATTTTCTTTGTGTACATTTGAACGTAGCTGTCAATTTAAAAAAATACTATACTCTTAAGCGCATAATTTGTGTAGACATAAAAGAAAGGCAAATTTACAGAAAGGTCAACTACAATATTG